AAGATAAGATGAAACATCAATCAGATGGTACCTACTGTGATACATTTTAAAAAGCATATAAATATAAAAGATTTTTGTATATTTGCATATAATTTTTCAATTGTGAGTAATTCTATTGTGATATTCTATTGTGATATTTCTAGCTGGATATGATATAAACAAAAATGGCATTTCATTAAAAAACTGAGTTAGTTACCAAGTACCTTATTAAAATGTATTTTTATATAATATTTTTAATACCCTTTCTAAATGCATAACTGAATTACCATATTATAAACCCACAGAAAAATGCATAAATAATAATTATACAACTGATGAACATCATAGCCTTAGAAGTCTAGAACTAGAGCCAATGTCTAATATTGAAGTGATGACATTCATTTGGAAGGTAAGCCCAGGGTAGCAATGGCTGGGACATGTGGAAATTGAGGCAAGAGTGGATGTGAAACTATGTATTGTGATGCGTGATATGACCCTGCTGATGACCACTTCCCAGTGATGTGAGAGAGACAGCATGGTGTTCATCAGATGCATGCACTTTGCTTCCAGTACTTTTCCAGAGGGGCTACAAGGGGAAACAGAGCCAGCATTAGTCCATGGAAGAGAGAGGGGAGGGAGACTGTATTTGCTCAGCAGTCTTCTGTCATTGATTTCCCAATGGCCAGGGTTTACCTGAGGCATAACTACCATCTCTACTGTTTTACTTTGCATCATCCAGTCCCTTGGTGGTGGTTATGAAAGTCAGAGCTCATGCCCACAGTTTGGTTCATTCAAGTCCCAAATGGAAGGATGATGTGCATCAAGCAAGGTGCTGACCAGGAGAAGAGAAGACAGTTAAAATAATCTGAGGAAGCACATGTTCGTGTGCAATACCGCCCACCCTTTGAGCCACTCAGATATGCTCATGCCCTAGAATTATGGCTGGCTTTGTGGGCATCTGACTTTCACAGTTGCACAGCGTCTTGTGTTTAGAAGTGCTTATGCCTAGAGGGGCTTTATGCTTGGATTGGTCTTCTGCACTTGCTGTTTTGTTTTTCAGACAGAAGGATGGGCTCGTGAGAGACATTCACAGATTCCTATACTGCCTGCTATGCATGCCTGTAGTAGCTTTGAATTCTGCTGCATCATCTGGCACAATGAATGAGAAGCTTGGGTCAGACCCTATATCTGCTGCAGACCCCTTCTTTGCTCTGGGTTCCACTTGAGACAAATAGCATTTGCAAACTCCTTAAGTGAGTCAGAGAAACATCCTCAAATGTGGAATATGTTGACTCTGAAACCCCAATAGGCCCCCAAAACACTGTGTTTCCCTTTTAGTGACAGGAAATGTATATAGCGCAACATGCTATTTATTTTAAGAAGGATGTTTGACAAAAGGACCAGAAGCATTGAACCCCTAAAAACCTCATCTATGCAATAGGTCTTTGAATCTGCTGAGGTTTATCTCTCTTCTTCCAGTATTTTACTTCTGTTCAATGTTACAGTATTTTACTATACTTAAGGAACTTGCCACTTCCTGCTTATGGGTACCAATTTATGTAACATTATTAATATATTGAATTAACATGATGTTTTGCAAAATGTCAAGTAAACTGAAAGTAGAAGTGACATAGCCCTGACATAAAAGAGTGAAGCAGTGTTCTCGTTTTTGCCACACCAAAGCAAATTGTTTTGATTTTCCCCCACGATGAGTGTAGATTAAAAAGCAACAAATCGAAAGCCACATACAAAGTTCTAGAAACCACACTCTGCTCAGTGAGATATCACAGCCTAGAGCAAATGTGAAAGTATGACTTAAGGTTTATGCTAATGTGCATTCATCCTGTAATCCATGTGGTTTTGACAGGGGCCAGTTAGGTTAACTGAATAAAGATAAAAAAATGGACCACCATCCCCTGGAACTTTTGAGTTTTTTGTTGTGACAGTGACCAATTCTGTTTCCTAGAGAACGCAGTTATTATATTTTATTCATGTTATTGCCAGGAGAGTAGAGTTTCAGAAGCCTCCCCTTGGTCCTGCTTACAATAATGTCCCTTGTTATACAGGCCAGGAAGCAATGTGAGAGTCCTGCCAGTGGTTGAACCTTTTGATTTCAATTACACTTTCAGGAAGAGGTAATGATAAACCCCTTAGATCCCCCTTTGAATTGGACATGAGCCAAAGCTCTATGTATCGTCTGACCTTCAAAAACTCATACTCCAGTTCTGTTGAGGTGGCTCAAATTAGCTGCTTGTGGTAGTGTGTGCCTGTAGTTACAGCTACCCAGAAGGCTCAGGCAGGAGGATTGCTTTAGCCCAGGAATTCAAGCTTGCAGGGAGCTATGACAGTGTCATTGCACTTCAGCCTGGGCAACTAAGCAAGATCTTGTCTTTAAAAAGAAACAAACAAAAACAACAAACAAAACCCCAAAAAGGGCTGTGCACTGGCTCATGCCTGTAATCCCAGAACTTTGGGAGGCCAAGGTGGTCGGATCACTTGAGGTCAGGAGTTTGAAATCAGCTTGGCCTACATGGTGAAACCTGCGTCTATTAAAAATACAAAAAGTAGCCAGGTGTGGTGGTGTGCATCTGTAATTTCAGCTACTCGGGAGGCTGAGGCATGAGAATCACTGTACCTGGGAGGTGGAAGTTGCAGTGAGCAGAGATCACATGATTGAACTACTCCAGGCTGGATGACAGAGGGAGACTCTGACTCAAACAAACAAACAAACAAAAACCAAAAACAACCTAAAAGCAAAGTAAAAACTTCCCACCTTATCCCATGAACCACTGTGTCTTTTTGGGTACCCAGATATTAATACTATTTCAGGCTCCAAACTTAAAAGTCTCAAATATTATAGATGTATGTCTTTTTCTCTGAGGACTGTTATCTGGGGAATAGCTACAGGTCTTTGAGAAAGCAATATATGATACAGCCTGAGAATTCTTGCAGTGAATTTTCAATTTCTTTCTTAAGAAATCTTAGGATTCTCTTCAGTCATTGAACTCTGCTTTTCTGAATTGGCTGTCCTCAGAATTGACTGAGCGTTTTTAATTTTCAACAACAAAAGCTGACCTCAGGAATCAGATTTATTCAACTCTTTTCCCCTCTTGGTTTATAATTATTTAGCCAAGTATGAAGCCTCTTCAACTATTAGCCTATCAAACCATTTCAATAAGGCTGTTGTCACCATTTCATTAAACCTGACATTCGTAAGATCACCAATGAGTGTGTGTTGCCAGTGGTTAGTCTACATGTTGCATGCTCTGTCAGCAGCATTGACCATAGTTCACTTGCATTCCAGGATTTTGCCCTCTCCTGATTTTATCCTTGTCCACTGGACACCACTTCTCGGTCTCCTTTGTTAGTTCTTCCTCTTGTCTCTAAACTGAAAATATCACACTGTCTAAGGTCTCAAATCTTCAGACTTTAAACAGTCATGCTGGTTTTGCTGGTGATCTTATGTAGCCTCCTTACTGATAATGTAGCCAAATGGTTCAACAGAGACAAATAAGGCTGATTATTCGTATGTGTTCATATATATAATTTATTTATGTACATCTGTTTACATATCTAATTATGTAAACCTTTTTTCTTCAAATGTCAGTTATATTTAAAAATAACATGACCAAAAATCTAGGGAGAAGGTGGGAGGATCAATAATGTTTTCACTTGAGTTTCTACCTATTCAGAGTGATAGTAACTTAGTATTTAGTTTAGTTTAAAATGGCAATATAGAAATTGATAGGCAGGTGATCATCATTATAGACATAATGATCTAAGCAAAGAAATACATAGAAGAATGGTTGATTAACCGATTTTGGTTTCTTGCATTTGGTACAGTTGGTGTCTCAGTATCTCAGTATTCATAGTTCTTAAGTTTTTGCTCTATGATCAATTAATTATGAGTTAATTTTTGTGTATGGTATGAAATAAGGGTCTAAATTAATGTTTTTCTATCTCTTTGTAGTCTTACTTTTTAGGTGAGTTCATCTGGTCATGGCTTTACTTTCTGCATGCTGATGATGTCAACATTTAATCCTTTAGCTCAGACCCAACCCTGGTCTCCGGAATCCTTTCTTTAATAGCCTACTTGACATCTTCATTTGAATGTCTAACAAGAACTTGAACTAACTTGTCCAAACCAAATTATTCATCTTCCTTTCCATCCCCAAATCCGTTTTTCCTACAGTCTTTCCTTCTGTTAATGAGCACTTTAGACTTTCAGATTCTTAGACAAAAAACATGGAGTCAATATTTTCTCTTTCACATCTCATCTCAGCAAATTTTATAGACTCTATCTTCAAAAACAAAGAATCTAATCCCTTGTCATCACTTCTGCCACACTTGTTTAAACTACTACATTATCTTGCCAGGATAATTGCCATCAACTCCTAATTATTTTTTCCAGTTCTCCACGTATCCCTATGTATTCTCAAGGTAGCAGCTGGAGAAAATCTGTTGAAATGCAAATTTGATCATGCAATTTTTCTGCTCCAGATTTTTCAGTGATTTCTCATCTCATTCAGAGTAAGACCAAAAGCCTTATAAAGTCCTATAATCATTTGAGTGATCTGATTTTGCTTACCTGTCTGTTCTAAAATGCCTGGCTCATCCCATGCTAGTCCAAGAATTGCCTCAGGGGCTTCATACTTGTGTCCCTTCTTTTTGAAATGCTCTTTCTCAGAAATCAACACTAAACACCATCACTCCTCAAACATCACTGAATCTTTGCAGCCTCCTTGATTTGATTTTTGGGTATGTTGATAAATAGGCATCTAGTTTCTTTTTTCTACACGTGGATACCCTGTTTTCCTAGCACCATTTTGTGAACAGACTGTCCTTTCCCTAGTGTATGTTCTTGGCACCTTTGTCAAAAATGAGTTTACTATAGGTGTGGATTTGTTTGTTGGTTCTCTATTTTGTTTCACTGCTCTATGTGTCTGTTTTTTATGCCAGTACCATTCTGTTTTGGTTACTATAGCTTTGTAGTATAATTTGAAGCCAGGTAATATGATTTCTCCAGTTTTGTTCTTTTTGCTCAGGATAACTTTGGCTATTTTGAGCATTCATATATTTTTAAAAGCCATTAAACCTCTGACAAGATAACTAAAACCAGTTAAGATACATATGTCACAAAATATCAAAGACCAATAGAAAATCTACAAAGCAGGTAGAGGAAAAAGATTATGTATAAAGGAATAAAGGTCTAAATGACAATCTGATTTATAACAGACAAAATCGAGGCTAAAATTTAATGCAGTCAATGCAATCGTCTTCTGTGTGCTTCAAAACCATAGCAGACTTTAATAAATAAAAATTCAAAAGAATATTTTTTAGATAAAAGGAAAATTACTAAAAATATAAAGCTGAACATGCATGAAGGAATAAAAAATAATAGAAGTGGTAAATACATATATAGTGCTAAATAAATTTTGACTGTATAAAATGATGGTGTCTTATTGGGTTAAATATATAATTAATAAGATATAGAGAAATAGCTATATATAGGCTCTAAAGGTAAAAAAAAAAGAAAATTTAGTGAATTTATATTTGAAATTTTCTATGTCTGTGAAGAGAATTCAAAAGCCATATTTGATGAACCTCTAATTCCCTTCCTAGGTATATATCCCAAGGTAATGAATCAAATAATATGTGAAAAATGGTCATACTGGAATTATTCATAACTGTTCAAAAAACAAAACCCCCAAATATATATCAACTAAGGATGAATTAATTATCATAATACATCTATACAATGGAATGATATAAAGAAGTGAAGAGAAATGAATCACATAAACATGCATCCATCTGACTAATTTTAGAAACACAAAGTTGAGTCTAAGAAGCTATGAACATGAACATACAGCACTACACCTATATATGGTTTAAAGCAGGCAAAACCATGCTATAGCATTTAGGGTTGCATATCTAGTTGTTAATGTATAAAGAAAATGAAGAAAATGATCATCCTAATTTATGGCTATTGCTTTCCTCAGTATATGTGAAGAAGGGTGTAGGGGTTTAGAGAACAGTGGAGGCAGACCTAGCCTATTTGCAATGTGACATGTTTTGCCCTGCATCATGGTTGCATGAGTGTTTATGATACATTGCTGTGTTTACCATTTTTGTTTTCACCCATTTCTAAGTGTGCATTATAATTGTGTTTAAAAATTATTAACTGGAGAAGTGTTCCATAAAGATTATTAATTGTTCTGCTCATTATATACCTTACAAAAAATTCACGATGTAGACATTTATGTACAACTCCACGAGGGTTGAAGTAGGAACTTTATTTCTGCAACATGAGGAAATTTGAGATGATGCTACCTGCAGCACACAGATCTTTCCAAAGATTTTCTACTACCTTTATTTATCTACCTCACTCACATGACAAAACTTTGCCACTCCTCATCTATTTTTCCTTTGGCTCCTGAATTCCTGACAAAACATGGGTGAACATATTTCCCCACACTCTTGTTTTAGCATAGTACCTATGTCAGTTAGGTTTTTCAACTAAAGAAATCCCTACAAAACTACATTAGATATTTTTATCTCGTATATCTTTGTATTCAGTTTTTCTAAGCTGAGTTTGGTGGATGGCTCTGGTGACTTGAGATGGGCCAAGTTCTGCATCTAGAGTTTGGCCAATCCAGGCTGGATTAGGCAAAGGCAAACTGACTTCATGAGTTTTTTATCCTCATCCTGAGAACAGTTTACTAGCCAGGTGATAATCTCATGGTCAGTGGAAAAGAGCAGGAAGCTCCAATGTGGAAGCCATCCCTAACATCTGTGTGAAGTCTCCCAATTTTCTGTTCATTGGAGAAAGTTTATGAGTAAGCCATGAGTCCAGGGTATAGGTAATCACTCTGCTTGTGGTGGGAGGATACTGCAAGATTATTGTGTCAAAGGGTGTGGTAGTCAGGAATATGTACAAAATTGTTGAACAATTTAATTAAATAATAAATACTTAAACATTAATTAGACTTAAGAGGAAGTTTACCACATTCTTAAGCATGAGAGAAATATTTGATGTTTTATCTTTTTTTTTTGGTGGGGTTCTAAAACCCTCAATGGAAAATAGGACTAATTTTATGTGGATGCCCTCCAGGAAACTTATATCTCACTTTGGAAAGCATAAGAAAATAATTCCTTCTATCCCTTAGGGGTGTGAGAGTAGATCTCTCTCTCTCTCTCTCTCTCTCTCTCTGTCTCTCTCTCTCTCTGTGTGTGTGTATGTGTGTGTGTGTTAAAATTCACTTGGGGTGGCTGGCAAAATATTAAATATTACAACGGAGGTTTCTAGTTAACACACTTGCAGATAATTAACATGGTTAAAAGAGTGGTTTTACGATTGATAAAACCTTTAGATTTGGGGCCTAGAGTAAACACTATTAGCCAGTAGTTCGCCTTTGATTTCCCCCTGAGAGGACCATTCAGCACCAAATTTACATGAGTAAACCATTAGAGTAGAGAAAAGGAATGTGAGGTAAACAGACTTAAACTGGGAAAGCCTTTTATTGTTTCTATTTCTTTCTTATGCTAATGTAAATGAGGTGGCTACCTTCAGCCTGTTCCAATGAAAACTTTTGGCCTTCCAAAAGGTTAGAGTTACAATTTATAACTTTTCCTAATATTTAATATGTTTCCAGCCACCCAAAGTGAATTTTAACATGTGTGTATTTATTTATGAGCATAGTAACAATAAATTCTTACAAAAGTGTCAGTTAGCAGCAACCAGATATTAAGTTGTATTAGTCTTCTTCTGATTCCCAGAAAAGGATGATTTTGATTTATAAGTTTGGATTCTGTCTGTTTAAATCTAGCATAAATAGTAAAGCCATTATGGTGATGATCCTAGTTATGACTAAGTTATCTTAAAGAATTTAGACATTTACTGTATGAACTATGGACTGGGTGGTAAAATTTACCTATCTAACAACTGAAGTTGCTGAACACAAATTATATATAGGTTAAACAAGGAAAACATTGCAAAACATTGAAAGGGAATATGTCTTTATTTGCATGCTGGCAAATGAATATTTAGGTTTCACTTCAACTTCATTACGAATAATTCAAGCCTGTCACCGGAATGGACATTGAATGAAGGAGTTAATTTAAGCTATTTTGAAAATAAGAATGTTTTCCATAAAGACAAAAACAAACTCATCCATTAGCATTAGCTGGTGCTTTCTTATTTGACATTGGTCAGAGTATTTAAAAGTAAAAAGAATGTTACTGCACATTCAGAAATCAGGTGGACATAAAATTTAAGGTCAGGGTATTAAAGAAATCACAACCAGTGATATTAGGCTTGGATTTTCTTTCTTTTTTTCTATTCAGACATGATAACTTTTCTACTCATTTTTTTTTCAATTCTAATATTGATTTTATTTGTTCTTGGAAATTTTGCCAATGGCTTCATAGCACTGGTAAATTTCATTGACTGGGTCAAGAAAAAAAAGATCTCCTCAGCTGACCAAATTCTCACTGCTCTAGCAGTCTCCAGAGTTGGTTTGCTCTGGACTTTATTACTAAACTGGTATTTAACTGTGTTGAATCCAGCTTTTTATAGTGTAGAATTAAGAATTGCTTCTTATAATGCCTGGGTAGTAACAAACCATTTCAGCATGTGGCTTGCTACCAGCCTCAGCATATTTTATTTGCTCAAGATTGCCAGTTTCTCCAACCTTATTTTTCTTCACCTGAAAAGGAGACTTAACAGTGTCATTCTGGTGATACTTTTGGGGGCTTTGTTATTTTTGGTTTGTCATCTTCTTGTGGTAAACATGGATGAGAGTATGTGGACAGAAGAATATGAAGGAAACATGACTGGGAAGATCAAACTGAGGAATGTAATACACCTTTCATATATGACTGTAACTACTCTATGGAGCTTCATACCCTTTGCTCTGTCCCTGATGTCTTTTCTGATGCTAATCTGTTCACTGTGTAAACATCTCAAGAGGATGCAGCTCCACGGCAAAGGATCTCAAGATCTTAGCACCAAGATCCACATAAAAGCTTTACAAACTGTGATCTCCTTCCTCTTGTTGTGGGTCATTTCCTTTCTATTCCTAATCATTTCAATTTGGAGTCCTAGGAAGCTGGAGAATGAAACAGTTCTCATGGTTGGCAAGACTTTTGGATATATATATCTTTCATTTGACTCATTCATCCTAATTTGGAGAAGCAAGAAGTTAAAACACACATTTCTTTTGATTTTATGTCATGTTAGGTGCTGAGTAAAAGAACTGAAACTACGAACTCTCTAGATTCATAAGTTGGACATTTTGTGTGTCTTCTAGGAGAAAACAAACTGATAGTGTCTGGAACATTTTATACTTTCTACTGGATTTTTGGTAGTGTATGTATTGGAGTAATTTCTGAAAGCTTACATAGAAGTCTTTTACCTAAAGCTAGTCTAAAAAGTATCTGTATATGTGTTTGTATGTGTATATGAAACACTTAAAAGGTATTGACAATAACATAATCATATTTTCACAAGCTGCCAAATTATAGAAAATATAGTCAGAAATTCCTCAAAGCCATGAAGCCATATGTATTTCACTTTATCATATTTCATTTGAAAATTTATTATCTTTATAATTGTTAAGAACTGATACCATATCTCAGAAAATCATTGCTCTTTTACACTGTGGTTTGTACCACACCTATGTACCACAGTGTGCTTAAAGATCTAATTTTTTTAATAGTAAGGACGCTCAATTCTAAATCAATAATGAGGTTTTATCTTTGGAGTAGTTTTCATTCCATCATGAATTCTAATTTAATGTTTAGTTTAAAGACAATATGTTGTTAGATAAAGATGGGCAGAATAACACTGAAGGGTTACAAATATATTTAGAACACATTTTGTATATGTCTACCATAAACAGTACTGAGGAATATTAGATTTAATACAAATATGTGAACCATTGAGGAAAAAGTCATTTCTATAATAGGAATGAAGAAAGAAACACAATGATGACCTTTTCAGTGCTGTCATAAGTCTCAGCATACAGTTAGAAAAGTCATTTCTTCTAGTTTTTGAGTTAAAGAAAACCTTTTTTGTAGTTGGGATGTGATATCAAGCATTTTAGGTTTTTTTTTTCTAAAGCACCTCAGAGCCACTGAATTGCCAATTATCTCCTCTGTCTTCGATACTTGAAATTCCGTTTAAACTTCACACACACAAAAAAAACTTGACTCTTTCCTATCTTAAAAATACTCCATATAAAAAGTGTAGAAATTATAAAAAATCATTTGAATTACACTTTTTGCAAATGTTAAAACGGCATCCATGAAATCTATGTATTAATGATAGAGAATGTCTTAAACATTTGTTTTATTATAATCTTATTGCAAATAATGCAATGAGAGAAAGTGTGTTGATATACTCAGCAATAGCAAGTTTTATTATAGGAAGAAATCATATAACATCATTAAACAAGTAAATTCTACAGACTGTATCAATTCTTGGGGTTATGAAATTTTAACAGTGTTATCTAAACCTTGGGATAAATCATCTCTACATCTGATCTGGTTATTTGTTTGCTTATCATATATCTTTCCTGGTACAATGTAAGCACCATAAAAGCAGAGATCCTACAGATCTTGCTTGCTGTTGAGTCTCAGGACCTAAAAGGCACCACATAGAATAGGTATTCAAAAATATTTTGATGAACAAATAAATTGGTGAATAGAGAAGTGAACTAACTATACTGGAGTGGTAAACCAATGAAAGTGAAACTTCATCACAAAATTTAAAGTTACATGAATTTTTCTTTTCTGGTTTCAACTTGAGGTTACAGGATTATCTAAGAAGAAGCAATTCTAGGGGAGCAAAATTGTGGCTATTCTATGATCGTAAGGGAAATACCACTGTAATGTAGCCCTGAGGAAGACACATTAGGTGTGTGATGGGAAGATAAGGTGGAACATCAATCAGATGGTACATACTGTGATACATTTTAAAATGCATATAAATTCATATGCTTTTTAAAAAGCATATACATATAAAAGATTTTTGTATATTTGCATATAATTTTTCAATTGTGAGTAATATATTTGTATTCTGATATTTCTAGCTGGTTACTCTATAAACAAAATGGCATTTCATTAAAAAAGCCAACTACCTTAGTAAAATATAATGTTTATATAATATTTTAACACCCTTTCTAAATAAACATTCAAATTGCCATATTATAAACTGACAGAAGCATGCAAAAATATTGATTATACATCTCATGAACTTCGCAGCCTTATAAGTTAGAACTAGAGCCAATGTCTGATATTAAAGTGATGACGTTTATTTGGAAGGTAAGCCCAGGGCAGCAACGGCCGGGACGTGTGGAAATTGAGTTAAGAGTGGGTGTGAAATTATGTGTTGTGATGTATGATATGACTCTGCTGATGACCACTTCACAATGAGGTGAGAGAGACAGCATGGTGGTCATCAGATGCATACACTTGACTCCTAGTACTTTTCCAGAAGGGCTGCAAGGGGGAGCTACAGTCAGCATTAGTCCATGGAAGAGAGAGAGGAGGGAGAATGAATCTGCTCAGCTGTCTTCCATCTTTGATTTCCCATTGACCGGCGTGTACCTGAGGCAGAATTCTCAACTCTGCTGTTCTGCCTTCCATCAGGCTCCAGTCCCTTGGTGGTGGTTATGAGAGTCAGGTCTCATGCCCACAGAATGGTGATCCATTCAAGTCCCAAATGGAAGGGTGATCTGGATCAAACAAGATGCTGACCAAGAGAAGAGAAGACAGTCAAGATAATCTGAGTAAGCACATGTATTTGTGTACAATAGCGCCCACCCCTTGTGCCACTCAGATTTGATTATGACCTCTAATCATGGCTGGCTTTGTGGGCATATGACTTTCACAGTTGCACAGGGCCATACTTAGAAGCACCTATGCTTAGAGGGGCTTTATGCTTGTATTAATCTTCTGCGCTTGACGTTTTGTTTTGCAAACAGAAGGTATCCTCTGCTGGAGAAGGAATGGCCTTGCACTGATTCCCTAGGAGTTTGCTCTCCCCTCTCCTATGGGCTTGTGAGAGACATGCAGAGAGGCCTATAATGTCTGCTATGCATGCCGTGGCAGCTTTGAATTGTACTGCATCATCTGGCACTATCAGCTTGGGTCAGACCCTATATCTGCTGTAGACTCCTTTTTTGTTCTGGGTTCCACTTGAGACAAGTAGCCTTTGCAAACTCCTTCAGTAAGTCGGAGAAATATCCTCAAATGTAGAATGTGCTGACTCCAAAACCCCAGTAGGTCCCCAAAACACTGTGCTTCCCTTCTGGTGATAGGAAATATATATAGGGCAACATGACATTTACTTTAAAAAGGATGTTTTGACAAAAGAACTAAAAGCATTGGACCCCTGAAAACCTCACCTACGTTGTAGGTCTTTGAATCTGCTGAGGTTTATCTCTCTTCTTCCAGTATTTTACTTCTGTTCAATGTTACAGTATTTTACTATACTTAAGGAACTTGCCACTTCCTGCTTATGGGTACCAATTTATGTAACATTATTAATATATTGAATTAACATGATGTTTTGCAAAATGTCAAGTAAACTGAAAGTAGAAGTGACGTAGCCCTAACATAAAACAGTGAAGTAGTGTTCTTGTTTTTGCCACACCAATGCAAATTGTTTTGATTTCCCCCCACGATGGGTGTAGATTAAAAAGCACTCACCAAATCAAAAGCCACATACAAAGTGTTGGAAACCACATTCTGCTCAGTGAGGTATCACGTCCTAGAGCAAATGTGCAAGTATGACTTAAGTTTATGCTAATGTGCATTCATCCTATAATCCATCTGGTTTTGACAGGGGCCAGTTAGGTTAACTGAATAAAGATATAAAATGGACCACCATCCCCTGGAACTTTTGAGTTTTTTGTTATGGCAGTGACCAATTCTGTTTCCTAGAGAACGCAGTTATGTTTTATTCATGTTATTGCCAGGAGAGTAGAGTTTCAGAAGCCTCCCCTTGCTCTTGCTTACAGTGTCCCTTGGCATACAGGTCAGGAAGCAACATGAGAGTCCTGCCAGTGGTTGAACCTTTCGATTTCAATTACACTTTCAGGAAGAGGTAACTATGATAAATCCATTAGATCCCCTTTTGGTTGGACATAAGCCAAAGCACTATATATTATCTGACCTTCAAAAACTCATACTCCAGTCTTGTTAAAGTGGCTCATACCTGTAATCCAAATAATTTAGGAGGCCAAAGTGGGAAGGTCACTTGAGGCCAAGAGCTTCAGAACAGCCTAGGCAATATAGCAAGTATATGTCTGTATGAAGGGAAAAAAATTAGCTGTTTGTGGTAGTGTGTGCCTGTAGTTACAGCTACCCAGAAGACTCGGGCAGGAGGATTGCTTTAGCCCAGAAATTCGAGTTTCCAGTAAGCTATGATCCTGTCATTGCATTCCAGCCTGGGTAACCAAGCAAGATCTTGTCTCTAAAAAGAAACAAACAAAAACCTGAAAATGGCCAGGCACAGTGGCTTACACCTGCAATCTCAGCACGTTGGGAGGCCTAGGTGTTCAGATCACTTGAGATCAGGACTTCGAGATCAGCCTGGCCAACATGGTGAAACCCCGCCTCTACTAAAAATGCAAAAAAAATCCGGGCCTGGTGGCATGCACCTATAATCCCAGATATTTGGGAAGCTGAGGCATGAGAACCACCTTATCCATGAGGTGGAGGTTGCAGTGAGCCGAGATCACACCATTGCACTCCAACCTGGGTGATAGAGTGAGACACTGCCTCAAAAAACAAAACAAAACAAACAAAACAAAAAAACCCAAAGTAAAAGCTTACATCTTTATTCCGTGGACCAGGTATTATGTTAGTTCAGGCTCCAAACTTAAAAGTCTTTCAGGTAATATGGATGTGTGTCTTTTTCTCTGAGGACTGATATCTGGGGAATAGCTACAGGTCTTTGAGAAAGCAACATGTGATACAGCCTGAGTATTCTTGCAGTGAATTTTCAATGTCCTTCAAGAGACCTTAAGATTCCCTTCAGTCATTAAACTCTGCTTCTCTGAGCTGGCTCAGTCCTGAGAACTGGCTGAGGGTTTTTGATTTTCAACATCAAAAGCCTACCTCGGGAATCAGCTTTATTCAACTCTTTTCCCGTCTTGGTTTATAATTATTTAGCAAAGTATGAAGCCTTTTCAACTATTGACCTATGAATCCATTTCAATAAGACTTTTGTCACCATTTCACTGAATCTGACCACCAGTGAATGTGTGTTGCCAATGGTTAGTCTTCATGTTGCATGCTCTATCAGCAGCATTGAACATAGTTTATTTACATTTCAGGATGCTGCTTGCTCCTGATTTTATCTTTATCTGCTGGGCGGTACTGAGGGAATGTATTCTCTGCCCGTGTCCACAGGGGGCATAGTTTTGCAAGAATGTCCCAGCGCCATACCTCCACCCATGTCTCCATCCGGTAGACTAGAGGTCTTTGGCTTTCATGTACCGGGGGAAACAAATCAAAGATCAGTCACTCCAGTGGAAGTTTAAAGGAACCCCTTTCATAGGACAGAAAATTTGAATGGGGCGGGAATTAGTCCCCTTCCCCCACATGGTGCGGACTCCATTTCTGGATCCCGTTCCATGACATCATAGGAGCTGCTCTCTCTCTCTTTCACTTTTTCTCTCCCTGCCTAAATAAATCACTTTCTGAAAAACTCTTTGGGGGCCGTATTTACGTAAATGAGCCACCACACCAGAATAGGTCCTCTCCCCTATTCTTGGGTGAGTGAGGGACCAAGAGCCTGGAAGAACACATCCTATCCAGGAGCTGAGCCTCTCCTGTGTCCTGCAACCCAGTCTCATTACTTCTCAGTCTCCTTTGCTAGTTCTTCTTCTTGTCTCTAAATTGAAAATATCACACTGCCCAAGGTCTCAAATCTTCAATCTTTAATAAATTATGCTGGTTTTGTTGATAATCTCATGTAGTCTTCTTACTGACAATGTAGCCAAATGGTTCAATAGAGGGGAATAAGGCTGATTATTCACATGTATTCATATATATTATTGATTTATGTACATCTATTTAAATATATCTAATTATGTAAACCTTTTTTTCTTCAAATGTCAGTTATATTTAAAAGTAACATGACCAAAACTCTAGGGAGAAGGTGGGAGTTTCAGTAATGTTTTCACTTGAATTTCTGCCTATCAGATTGAGAGTGACTCAGTATCTAATTTAGTTTTATTTAAAATAGCAATGTGGAAATTGATAGATTCATAGGCAGGGCATTATCACTGTAGACATAATATCTAAGTAAAGAAACATATAGAGAGAATTATGGTTGATTAACCCATTTTTGATTTCTTGCATTTGGTACAGTTAGTGTCTCAGTATCTCAGTATTCATAGTTCTTAAGTTTTTGCTCTATGATCAATTAATTATGAGTTAATTTTTGTGTATGGTATGAAATAAGGATCTAAATTTATGTTTTTTCTTTCCCTTGTCATTGTTACATTTAGGTAAGTTCATCTGGTCATGGCTTTACTTTCTGCATGCTGATGATGCCAACATTTAATCCTTCAGCTCAGAACCCAAACCTGGTCTCCTGAATATTTTCTCTAATAGCCTCCTTGACATCTTCATTTGGATGTCTAACAAGAACTTTAACTAACTTGTTCAAGCCAAATTACTCATCTTCCCTTCTATCCCCAAATCTGTTTTTCCTACAGTCTTGCCTTCCGTTAATGAACACTTCAGACTTTCAGATGCTTAGACAAAAAACATGGAGTCAACATTTTCTCTCTTTCACATCTCATCTAAGAAATTTTTATAGACCTTATCTTCAAAAACATACAGAATCCAATCCTTTGTCATCACTTCTGCCATTCTCATCCAAACTTCTGCATTATTTTGCCACAATAATTGCCATCAACTCCTAATTATTCTTTCTAATTCTACACATTCTCCTGATGTATTTTCATGAGAGAGCCAGAGAGAGAAGAAGGCCAGAGAGAGCCTCTTAAAATGCAAATTTGATCATGCCATTCTTCTGCTCCAGATTTTTCAGTGACTTCTCAACTCATTCAGAGTAAGGCTAAAATCCTTACTAAGTCTTATAATCATTTGAGTGACCTGATGTTGTCTGCCTGTCTGTCCTAATACTCCTGGATCATCCCATGCTAGCAACACTGGCCTTTGTGTAATTTCTTAA